TCATGCAAAGAAGACCAAGATCAAGAGAGGCATGATCAGAAAAATTTAAAATGGATATGTGTCTTTCATGAGCAAATTAGTTACCTAGACTTTGCTGTTACATCATATAAACTGTATTTGAAAGCAAATATACTTCCAAATATTACCCTAATCTTATTGCTCTTTAAAGAAATTAGATCATATTAATATTTTTTTAATAGGTACATATCACAAAATTAAAACAGGGTTAACAATTCTGTAAAAAAAAACCCTGGCCATTAAGTTATATTAAATAAAAGATTGTACAACGCTGAGGCAATGTCCTTGGTTTAGAACATGTAAAGTGAAAACCACTGTAAAATTATCCATAATAAACAGAGAGTATAAAATGCAGAATTTAAATAAAAAATACTTTAAAAACCTGCTTCATTATTTGTTTTTTGTTAACACAGTATTACTTCATATTCCGTCCCTGGAATTTATATCAAAATTGGAAAGAATTAAGTTTGACTATCAACAAAATATGTTCAGAATATTATAACACTTTAGAACACAGTGGTACCCACTTGCACAACTTGCTTTAACATACAATTATTCTGTATTTTGCCCACAGAGTGTATACTTACGGTTTGCATGATTCACAAAATAAACAGTGTTTATTTCACCAAATGATCTTTGTAATGGAGATACACTGTGTACAAAAAAAAAGTGAATGCAGTGTGCATACATGATTTAAAATTGTGGCTTGCAATTGATACATAAATACTCAGGGTGAGTCCTGTACATATTACTTTTTATGTAAGTATATGGTCTTAATGGAACCCTATCAGAAACAATCAAATGAAAAAAATGTAGCACTGCAAGGTAGGTTTCAATTTGAAAATAATTAACTCATTTAGTATGCACATTTTACTCAAGACATGACTGTCAAACATAATATCTTCTGACTAAGTACCTTTTTATCTTAGATTTTAGAAAATTTATTTTAAATTATTCCCACCAATACCAATAGTCATGATGGGCTTGTCTTACGTCCTATTATTTTAACCCTAATTTTTCATACATTATATTAAATTTAACAGTTACCATATTCTTCTTGAAAATGCAATGAATGCAGCAGTACTTGTGTGAAAACAATTAGCATAAATTAATTAAAAATACTAAGAAATTCAAGTCAATCCTGAATCCCCATGGACAATCAAATTAAATAGGATCAGTCTAGAGAAGTAATTATATAATTGTATTCTATTTAGAAGCTACTAAATTTTAAATCAATAAATCAGATAAATATACTAGTCACCAATATTAAAACTGACTAGAAAGTTTACACTTGGTGATATGACATTCTGTAAACACCAAACATAAATGTAAATATTATTTTATTATTCTGCTAGTTGCCCTTTGATGAACTGACTCCAGAAGAGCAAGTTCGTCAAATTGAGAAGGAGAAGCTTCGACTGGCTGCTAAAGCACACAAAGATGCTATTGAAGGTAATGCTTCAAATAGTGATATAAGTTATGAAATGTTATTGATAAATTAATTTAGTGTTAATTTAGAATATCCTCAAATAAAATTTTGACAGTAAATTTGTATATATTTAAAATATTCTATATACTAATCTCATTCCTAATATTATTTAATCACCGAAGTTCATTCTCATTTATAACACTTTATATGGACATGAAAACTGGTCCGTAAATTTGAACAAAAAACATAGGTAAAGGTGTTTGAGACAGAGAACTCAAGGAAATATTTATAGGCATAAGAGACATGACAAGAATATTGAAAAGCATGTAATAAGGTGCTTCACAATTTACAATCTTTATCTAGTATCATTTGGATGATAAAATGGCAGAGCGTTAAGTTGACAAGAGAAAAATAAGATTTTTTATGAAAAACTCATGAGAACATTAACTGTTTTAGGATATAATACAAAGGTCATTTTTTATGACTGTAATGAAATGTACAGGTCTATAATAAAATGGAATTGATTATTCAATTGCATATCTGCCATCTGCTCATGGAAAACGAACAATAGTTATTCTTAATGTTTTAGAAAATCGTAACTGAAAAATATGCCTGAAAAAGAATTAAAGACTGCATCCTACCTTTTACACCCCAGTAGCTATAGTCACGAAATATTTATACTCTTACAAAAATACAAGTACATATTACTATCCTCTTGTTGTCAATTCATCAGTTTCATGTTTTACATACTGGTTTTATTCCAGCTACAGTCAAAGCTGCTGCAAACTGCAAGGAAATACATAATTTGCTGAAATACATTAGAAGTTACACAGTAATTCTCCTGATGCCTTATTTATATGAGGACGGTATTGGACAAGCATGGCAAACACTGGAAGAAGAGCTTAGACCAATGGGATATTCAGTACAAGATGAAGAAGACCTTGAATTACATCCGAGTCTAGCCTCAGAGGTAAGAATACTATTTAATTTAATAGGGTTATTCCCATTAATTTAACCTTGAAAGTATTTGTTTAACATAATGTGAATCTCTTGTTTCAATTACTGTATTTATATTCCTCCTTGATATGTATTTTAATTTAATTACAAATACCCCAACTTACCAGTTCCAGCACACATTATATTTGTCATATGATTCATTCCTTTCAAAAATGAAAATAACCAGTTCTGCTACAAAACAGTACTTGTTTCCTAACTTTGTAAAATTGTTTTTAATGAACTGGCGTTTTAATGCTTTAAAACCAGGATAATGAAATTTCACAATTTAAAATATTCATTTAGTATTATAAGAATTAGTAACTTACCTATACATTGGGTACCAGAGGCTCTTTCCTGGGAAAAAGGGGGGGCATGTAGCTGATCACTCACCTTGATCTAGTATCAAGGTCAAGGAGGTGTTGAGCTATACCTCCACTATCCCATTCGGTTTCATGGTGCGGTATTTAATAAGTACTAAAGTTTCATATATTGGGAACCAGATATTATTCACAAGCCCTGAGTGTAAACTTTAGCCGATCTATTAGTGACCAAATCTAGGACCTCCCAAATGTGATTCTATGCCCTACCCAGAGACCACAAGATCCCTTCAGTGAGATTACAATACAGTATGACAGCAGTTTGTTATTTTGTATGAAGGAAATCATTTTTAAATATTGTTGTCTTCTGGGTTGTACCTAGAACCATTTCCCTTTGCCTATTGAAACAGATTATTTATGGAGGCTTACAAGAAATATCAGAAGAATTCAGTGAGGAGCTTGAATCTGGAAAAGCTGTAGCAAAGTTGATGCTTTACAAGCCACCTGAAAATAAAGAGATCCT